TACTTATTATAAAACCCAGGTTGGTTGTTTGTGTGTGTGTGTGTGTTCGTTTATATATGAAATCGAATTTCCTACATTTTTCAACTGATTTCAACAAAACTTCACTTTTTTTTTTGGCAGGTAGTGTTTCTTATTGTCTTGCACACTTTTTTACATTCAGAATGCTTTAAAAATTCCATTTACAAGACAATTGTTTATAATAAAATTCTATTCAATCGGTAGACTCATAACAATTGAAAACAATGTTTTTGTTTGGGTTTGACCAATTCATAAAAAAACAAATTAAGACATGCGTGTCCATCAACCTTAAACAATCTTTGACAATTTTATTTTTCAGTCTTTATGATGGTCGATACTTGATCTATCTCTTACTGTTACATCCCCGAGCAACACTGGGTTCTACTGCTAGTACATTGATAAAAACAATCAAAATGAAGATGCAAGTTCAATGGCATAATAACTACTTTAAAAAATTTAATCAGAAATTCACTTTTGTCTGTTGGTTTTGCAGTTGTTTCACTTGTCTGTTGGTTTTACAGTTGTTTTCTGTAAGCAATTTTTGTTGATGTCATGTTGACTCTTTGCAATTCTATTTTATTAGAGATATAGACAGATGATAACAAGAAATTAATGACTGGTTTTCATGTTTTCTCTTTGTGTATATTTATTTGTTTCCCTTTGCATTTTTGAGTATATTTTTCAACGTTTTAATGACTTGTCCTTGTCTGGTTAGTATGAAACTGATATCCTACAGTAAATATGTATCCATTATTTTTTCTATTTAATCTAATATAAAGGCATACATTTGTTTGTCCAAGATAAATTCAGCTGATAAAGTAATGATTTAAGTTTAATTTGAAATGACAAATAATTGTCCTTGTTCTAGAAAAGGCTTCACTCATCTGCCAAGCAAGCCAGCCAAGTAAGCTTCTTAAGTGTCCTCCTTACAGGGCTTCCAACTTTTCTGTTATTTTATCCCTATTTGGGGGTTGGGCAGCAGGAAATAATTCCAGGATTAAGATAGTGGGAAAGATGGATTAATGTCTCTTCTAAGAGCATTACCACACTCCATACACACTGCTACAGCTGGAACTTGAAGATGGTTTCCACTCTCCATATTTCCTGTTTCAGTTATGCCACCTGCACCTCTGAGTTAGACTTAGAAAACATGTAAATTATATTAATTTTTACTTCTGATTGGTTCTCATGCAAACTCAATTTATAGAATGAAGAAAATTACTTTACATCTATTTTGTATTACTTGTCTCTAAAAGCTTTGAAAACAAAACATCCTCACTTGAGAGGTTTTCATTGGTTTTGGCTAATGAGCCCTCTGATCTTTCCCAGATGTACAAGATGGTGTTACCTAAACATTCATAAAATCTAAATAGATTGATTAGTCTGATAATCTGCTAAGTTACTCAATATTTATTTGTTTCTCTCTGAACATTTCACATATATTACACACTGCACTGAAGAAAAGCAGCTTGTATGTGAAATATTAGCCAATACCTTCTTATCCACCTTTGATATTGAAGACCCATTTATCTCATAATTAAGGATATCCGTTCATACAATGAATGGAATAGTCTCTTTGTGGTGTTTAATGGTAGAGTGAACCAATGGCCTTTGGGTCAAGAGTTTTAACAGCAGCTAAGGAAGTTAGATATTTTGATTGTTTTTGCATGCAGTCTTTTCAAAAACTTTGCAAACTTTAATCAACCATCCCTATCTTCCTGCACCAAACACTTTTCTGTTTGACTTGGTAACACTTTTGCTAAAATGTTTCATTTGCATGAAAGGCTCTTCAGTGGTGGCTGGATCAGAATAACTTTTGGCGTTATTATTAAGCCATTTTATAGTGTCAGATTCATTTTAAAAAGGGGTGATAAAAGAAATAATTAAAACAAAAAGCATTTGTATTTACAATTTCCTATGGAACAGTAGCTTAGAGCAGTGTTTCTCAACCTTTTTACCCTTGTGTAACCCTTAAAATAAGTTACATGTCTAAAGGAACCCCTGTGCAAAAACAAAATTATAAATCATATCTTTCTCATTTTATTTTTGTCATAGTTCACATCGTAAATATCATAGTATATATTTTTGAATGACTGGTTTAAGGAAAAATTAATACTTCTTTGTCAAATTTTTCAGTAACACTAAATAAAATACATACATTAAATAAGTAACTTTAAATACAGATCCTGTTCGCTGAGTGGGCACTGACTAGTAAAGGTGGTTTCACCCTAGCACAGTACAGACATCACTAAATATATTCTCAATGATTGTTATATTTTTTAATAACATAATAGGTTAGATAGGATGATGACTATATTACAATATTACAATAATTAAGGGTATTTTGTGTGTGTTTAGTAACATTATGTATATGAAATTAAATAAAAAGTCAAAATCTCACTTGTCACTTATCTCACTTGTTCTCGCGGAACCCTTGCAGACTTTTTGCAGAACCTTGGGGTTTCAGGGAATCCCAATTGAGAAACACTGGCCTAGAAGATTAAAGCATTGATTTGTGAATTTGGTGACATTCTATTTATGAATTCAATTCAATCCCTGAGCCGGGCAGTGTAAACTCTGTGAAAATGAATCAAGCAGTAACTGAGCTGTACTAAGAACTAGATGAGATATCCTTTGACATGAGAAGTAGAATGAGAATAATCTGTCCCCTTAGATTAAATAAAAGATTCAGTTCAGAATTCCCTGGATCAACATGTACCTAATGAAGAACTGGAGGGCGCAATGTACAAATAATTGTGTTAACAACAAAAATAAGGACAATAGTTCATATATAAATAGGGTAAATAATGATAACTCCTCATCCCAGAAATTAAGACAGAAATTACAATTTTTAATTTGATACAAGATTAAATACTCATTTATTAGGGTAAAATTCAATTGTTATCTCATTTGCTTTGGGTAGTCTATTTACTGAATTTTATGTCATTTAATGTATATTTTAAGTTTTAACCTTGATCTGAAAACCTTAAAATATTCAGTAAAAGTAAAATAAAAACTGGAGTTTTATTTCATCTCTGTGAAATTGCAATTATAAAACTTTTAAGGGAAAAAAAAAACAAATTAATATGCAAAAAAATTTTCCAGGTGTCTGTGTTTTTAAAATAAGTAAATATTAAATGAAATTTTATAATTTATTGAATCATTTCATTTTATTTTTTGTGTTTTTGTTTTGCATACAAAGATGTACATGCTCAATGTAATTCCTCCAGAATTACAATATATACCCCTATCACTTGCCTACATATGAACAGGTGTACCATTATGACATTCTTATCATATTTTGGTCAATGAACCTTGTAATCTTTTGAAAGTATACAAAATCTTATATGAAAATTTAGAGAATTTTGGTGTGATATTGGTAAAACATATGTGGCATATATTCATGACATTAACAGGAACCCCAGTCTGTTGGGTATCAAACTGAAAGACTTCATCTGAGAAGTATTATCAGGAATTTGCAAACATTTGTATAGTCTTTTATGTTTTTGGTTTCATATTTTAGATGTCTGCAAGACATTTTGTTGCAGCAGTTATATACAATGGGGTGATGAATTGTTCTCACTCTGACTCACTTCTTAAATGGTGAGCAAACTTTTTTTATGGACCCCCCCACCCCGATTAAAAATCTCTATTTTTGACTTTTATTCTTGTGTGAGTTAGTGTGCTTAAAATTTGCAATATTTATGGGTGAGGAGTGCAAATATAGGGGATAGTATTTAAACATATAAACAGTATTGACATAGAAACTAGCACTACCTGAAGAGTGTCAATTTCACACCTTAACTGATCAGTTGAATTGTTATGACATGGTAGCACAGACAAGTGTTCACTGATGGTTAGCAAAGGTAATCTGCTGGACGAGTAAAGGTAGGCAATCCTAAGATTATCTCTGACTACATCTACTACATCATGTTAATCCAACAGCTTTCTTATGGGACATATTTGTCTTTATCACTTTCTCTCTCTCTCTCTTTCTCTCAATATGTGGAGAGTGGAGAGAAAAAAAAACAATAGAAAGAAACAAAAACTGATTTTAGTCTAGTTTGGCGATTTCCAACTTTATTTTGGTATAAACATTTCTCTAGGATGGGTGGAGTTAATGCAGGGACCTTTTAATACCTTGTTCTTGAAATTGGATATTTAACCAGGCTATATGTATTTTTATTGCAAACTTGTAAATACTTGCAAACCAGAGATTCTATCATGCTACAATATTTATGAATAAATGTATTTTGGTAGGAAATTGACTTGTATGGCAAAAAAGCAAACAGACTTGTATGGAAATTAATTTTATCTTAAACCTTTATTCCAATAGTCAAAAAAGATGGAGAATTTTTTGATATAAAAAGAATTGTGCATATTTCTTGTAAAACCAAAGATATTTGAAAATTTACTAAAAGAAATTTTAGCATGACCTCAAAAATCTATCTGAAATTATTGGATTTTAATAAAATTTTAATATTTGATAGAGGATGATTTTATTAATTCATTTTGTTTCATTGTTTATTTTATTAAGTTCTATTTCAAGTTTCGGTGGGTGGGGACAGATGAGGTACACAAGACAAAAGATGGTTAGTGAGTTAGTATGATTTAACATTACTAGTACTGAGTAGAGAGTACAAGCTTTACTGGGTGCCCAATACTTGTGACTCTCTGGTTAGTCTCTTTTCAAAATTATTTACAATGTGACACATAGGGATGCTAAAGCTACACATGATTTTATTCATATGGATTAAATGGGTGGTAAATTTAAACTTTTTTGGAACCAGCTTCAATTATCTTTTGAATATTTTTGAGCCATAATTGATTGACTTCAGAGATAGCAAGGACTGAATGAAAATATATATAAAAATTGTGTGTGTGTTTGATTTCTGCCAAGGTAGACTTTGGGGGGAAACAGCTTTTTCCTGCTACTCTAAATATTTAACATTTGTCTATTGTTTCTGTTTATTTCTTTACAGGTACTGCCATATTATTAGTTTGATCTGGTGCTTTACTTACTTGGCCTTCTTCCGCACCACATCATGGTTTGGTGTACCAACTCCTCCTGCCTTTGCTAATGCAGTACAACTCTTCCTGACCCTCAGGGTAAGTCTCATTATTTGTTAGTTTTACTATGGTGTGAGTAAACTTCAGAGAAATTCTTTGACCTTTATTAGGTGCTCTTTGCTTCAAGATAAAAGTTGAATTTTAGAATCAAAGATCTTCAGCTTGAGACTACTAAAGTTACTTCACCTTAAATTCTTTTTCTTCTTGTACTGAAATTAACTTTAAATAGAATGTGTGGATGCTGTAATGGATAGTGTCTTCAAATGAGAAATTGGAGAGCTGAGTTCAAATTCCAGTCAGGTTAGTTGTGTTCACTTATGTGCACTTACCCATCCTCTCCTAGGATAATTAGTAGGAATTGTATCTGAAAAAATCATTATTTCATTTTCTGCAAAAAAATATTACAAGCCAAAATGTGTTGATAAGCCATAAAAACAAATCAGTCAGTCAATCAATAGACTTAAATATCATCATTAGCTTACTTTGTTTTATACTGAAAGAATTGTTAAACTTAGCTTAGTTTGATACAAAGCAACAAAAATGAGCCCTCCCCCTCCTCCTGCTGTATTTTAAACTTATTACACTAGCAATTATTTCCCAGGCTAGTTTTATGACTATTGTTTTATGTCAATCATCTTTTGAAAAAACATCAAAGTAGAAAGGATGAGAAAGATAATGAAAAACAGGGTGACCTTTTAGAACATTTTGATGAGGAAACAAAACCCTGATTTTTATTTATTTATTAGTGTGTGTACACACACACACGTGTATCTCTCAGATAGTTACATATTTTTTTAATGGGATTCATGATTGCTGTGTAAGAAATTTCAAGATATGCAAGCCCTTCCTACTTGGAAGTTTGGCATATCAGGATTGTTCTACACTCAATTTCTTCTTATTTGACCTTGTCCAGCTTATGGTAAAGCAAATAGATCTCCAGAGTAGGTATGTAATATATATTTGATGATATCAAACACAATGTGACTTTATATATTTATCTGTCCTTCAGCCTGATCTCCTCTTCTTCGTAATGATATTCCATTATTAATGGGAAGCATTATTTGATATCAATAAACAAACATCTACAGTACAATGGCCTAGTGGATAAAAGTATTGGTTTGTGAATTTGGGGATATAGTGGTTGTGATTTCAATCTCTGGGGCAGACAGTGTGTAATTGTACTTGGTGGAAATGAATGAGCAATAACTGAAAAATAAAAACTAGATAATATCCCTAGACATGAGCTGTGGAACCAGAACAGTCTACCCACACAGATTAAATAAAAGGTTCACTTCAGAATTCCCTGTTGCCTGTGCATTAAATGTTGCTGCCATATCTGGTCTGGTTCTCCTGCTATTCATCCTGAAGTTCTTGACAAAATGTAATGTAATCGAGTCTGACCTGACATCTTGACTTCAGTCACTTTCTCACTGATGTGGTGTGGCTTCCCTGTCTTTTCTACAAATATTTTCATGGCAACTGCTCTGTTCTTTTTGAACTGGTGCTCTGACTACATGAATTTGTGTGCTACTAGATTGGCATCTAGGACCTGTTTACTGTTGAAATAGCTAAATGCAACTGCCACTTCTACTCCAACAGTTTCTTTTCTTGCACTTCCCACCTGTGGAATTCCCTTCTGTTTACTTGCTTCCCTGATAATCAGAATCTTCAAAAATTTAAATGCAGCATCAATTACCATTTTCTGTCTTCTTTGTCCTTTCCTTAATTCTCCATATACTCAGTCTTCTCCCACTTTCACACCCTGTGACAGTCTGCATACTAGGGGCATTTCCACCTAGCTTGGGGGTGAAATGGTTTAAAAAAAAAAAAAAAGTAAAGAAAAGGTTACCTAGGTCAATATACATCTGAGGAAGGCTGGAGGGTGCAATAATTAAAACACGATAACAACTAATGAGGACAATAGTCTGAATATAATGCAAATAAGCAAACATTTTTTTGTATTAACATAACAAAAGAATATATCATTAGTAAGTAGATGAGATTACTAAAGCATAGCTTCATTTACTTTTAATGATTTTACAATGCAATATTTCTTTCTTATAAAAGACAATTAATTTAATTGTATGGATAAAAATCCTAAATTACTCGTGCAGAAAATATAACCAATGCAGTTGCAAAATTTCTCATATTTCTATCCTGTTTTGACAATACAGGTGAACTAATATATAATAGAGCTTTATTTGGTTATTAATGCTTGATGAGGCATCTCTTTTCTTGCATTTTTAAATTTTTATATTGAATGGAGTGTCAAAAAAAAATACATTTGAAAATTTGTTTTAAATTATTTTTTTTTTTTATCGTATTGCTGATAATTGTTTGCAGAAAATGACTGAACATAAATAAGTCATGTAGTAACAATAAAAACCAATTAGCAATGTTAACATTTCAGGTCAAAATTGGGCTTACAATTATATTTCAGGTTATTGACTTACCTGTTGTGTGTGTGTGTGTATATATATATATATATATATATATATATATATATATATATATATATATATAAAATTAACAAATCGGAGACTTCAGAAAGCCATGGTAATATTTTATTTTGTGAGACCAATAAAAATCAATTTTGCTTTGTCAGACTTTGCGGTTCCAAAACAATGAGTGGATTCAAAAATTCTTTGAGAAATCGACTGAAATATATATATATATATAATATATATATATATGAGAGGATAAGGAATAAATAGTAAGCTGATGAATTTGAATGTTTTGAGGAGACATCTGAACTGAAAGGATTTTCTTTTTTTTATGTACCATCTCCCATCAAGACATAGGTGATCATGGCTTTCTGCAATCTCCTGTCTTGTGTAGTTTTTATTATTTTTTTCTTAAACCCTGTTCAGCCATCTATTTAATTAAGTTCACTAAGTATGCTATGCTTTGTTTTCCTCTGTGCCTCTTGCCTTCAATCTGTCCCGTGAGTAGTAGATTTTCCAAGCCCTCTTTCCTCATTATGTGTCTTAAAATTTCAACTGTGTCTTCTTGATGTTAAGTATGTTTCCTGTTTGTTTCCATTTTGTCTGACATTGCTCACATATTTACTGAGTTCATTTGCATTTTTATAAACTCTGATATCCACTGGTATAGATATCAAAAACTCATAACTGAAGTTAGACTATGGTTTCTAATGATGTAACCATTCAACTGTAACAATGAGAGTTTATTTTAGTGGGATTTGATAAATCCAATATATGCTGAGAGCTGTGAAAATAAAATTACCTTGATTGTAAAGAAAACAAAAAAAAATCATGGAATCAAGAAAAGCTGTCGTAGATATTTCTTTGTCCTTCTTCGGTTTTTAACCCCTCCCCCCCTCCCCACTGCCATCTCTCTGTTTTATTTAATTTTCAACTGTAGTTTTAATATTGATTTTAACAATTGCCCATGGATTTATCTGAAACAGATTTGGGGAAATAATTTCATAAGGAAGTACCATATGTTATTGCAATCCCTGTATCATTGATGTTTTCTTCATTTGTCAATCAATATATGTTCTAATCAATATATCTTTCAATCACTCTTTGTGGCAGTTAATATTTTCAGAATGCAATGTCATTACATTTAATGAATTTTCATTGGACATTAATTCAGAAAAAAATATTCTCACCCCTTTTGTTTTTATTTAATCTTAGTTCTAAAACATGTTATAGAGTATTCCAGTTAGTTTCTAAGATATAGGTATATCTACCTTTTAAAGTCTGGTACAAATTTACTATATTTACTGTACTAGTATGAAAGTGTAATAGTTTGTTTACTTGTCTTATTTAAGTATGAACTGTCTACAGTGGTCCACAAACACATTATCATCACTTGATTAAAATGACTTTTGGTATTAATTTGCTACTATGAATGACCATCTTGTATATACAAACTGTTATGATGTGGGGTCTGGCAAAACACAACACTTGATGTGATAGTAGTATTCAATAGTCAGCTAGACAAGTCATTACAATAGTATTATTTTCTCCCTCCTAGAAAATTACCCAGGACTACTTATCATGAATGGATCAGTCTATTCATGATAGTAGGGTAACTGCCTCTTTCTACAATATCTCCCTTTTTAAGACTTACTTCCTAAGTGTCACCCGATATACATGTAAAAACTGCTGTAATATCATATCCTTAGTTTCACCTCCATTGTTTTTTTTTATTGCCATTTGGAATGTATTGATGAAGCATTCTGAAAACAATGGTATCTGGGATACCGTATCTAGCAAACAATTCAAGCCATAAGTTTATTGCAATTGTAAAAGTTGAATTATTGCATTTTGAATTTATGGCCATTTGGAAAAACTGTTGACAATGATTAGGTAGTAGACATCATTTATCGGTCCTGCAAAATCAATGTATAATCTCGACCATGGTGTGTCTGTCTATGGCCAAGGGTGGAATTTAACTGGTGGGGATTTTGCTGCAATAGCACAACCACTGCACGTTTTTACCAATCTCTTTATATCTTTGCCCATATTGGGCCAGTAGACATAGCTGTGCATAAGGGATTTCAATCTAGAGATACCTGGATGACCTGTATGAAATTATTTCAACATCCTTTTATTGAATAGATGCAGGCATTACCACTCTTTCACCTTATCACTGATTGAGAAAATATTGTCACCATCAATTTTTATTTTAATTTTATTTTTCTCCTTCAATTTCCACCTTACTTGCTTCTTTTTTTTCTCTCTAATAAAGTATTTTAATTTCATTCAGTGTCACAGTATTGCAGAAAATGTTCTTAATTTCATTCTCAGCTCTTAGTGCTGCAATTACCATATCTTTTAAAGGTTCATATAATCTAGATATGACTCTCTACAACACATCTGCATGATTTAGCTTTTGTGATGGCAGGAATTCCATTTTAAAATTGTAATTCAACAGAATTGTCCCCCACTGCTGTAATCGATTTGCTGTTTGTGTCAGGATAACTTTTTTTTTTTTTGCCTGGAAATAGGTAACAAAGGACAGTGGTCCATCTGTAGGGTGAACCTTCTATACCAGGAGCCGGCAACTCA